ACACGCCTCCCACATCTTGCTATTTTAGTTCGATCAGCATGTCCTGATTCATCCGTGTTGGTCTCTTGCCTTCCTTGTTTGATTTATTGCACCTAGTGATCAAGAGCTCTTGAGCTCTATGGAAGGCATCCTTAAAGATCTGCCAGCTCTGTTCTGCTCCCTTGTTCCTGAGGGCAGTTTCCCCAGGGGGTGCTATTGGCTAACTCCTAGAAGAGCTGTAAGTTTACTATTCTAAAGTCTAGGGTCCTAACTTTTCACCTGGCCCATATCCCTCAGGACTGCAAACTGCACCAGTGCATGATCACTGCAGCCCAGGCTGCCTCCAATCTTGACATCCCCAATAAACTCACTTGCATTGGTGACCACTAGGTCCAGTATCACATCTCCTTTGGTTAGACTGTCTATCACTTGGCTTATGAACTTTTATCCTCCATGCATTCTAGGAGTCTCCTGAATTGCCTACAGCTCACCATGCTACTTTTCCAGCAGATGTCAGGGTGGTTGAAGTTCCCCATCAGAACAAGAGCCTGCAAGTGTAATGACTCCTGTAGCTGGAGCGAGAAGGCTCCGTCAATAGGTTCCCCTTGATCACACAGCCTGTAGACACCAACCACAATATTCCATTTGTTGACTTAGTCTCTGATTCTTACCCATACCGTTTCAACCAACTCATGGCTATTCATCAGAGACAGCTCTTTACATTGTATCTGTCTCTTGGTGTAGATGGCTACCTCTCTGCCCCTCCTTCCTCTCTGGTCCCTTCTGAACATCTTATAGCCATCAATATCAGCACTCCAGTCACAGGATTCATCCCACCAAGTTTTAGTAATGACACTTCAGTAACGACAGGTCATGCTTTCTAGCAGCATGGTGGCTTCCAACTCCTTGTTTGTTGTTCATACTGCATGCACAGTGTAGAGACCCGCATGTTTGAGGCTTGTGGGTTGACTCTCAGCATGTGGTGTTATGACTGAAGTTTTCCCATTTGGAGCCCTCTATGCTGGTGATATCACCTCTATGGCACTTGGTCTACTAAGTGGCCAATAGCTGGCAGGAGCAACAGTTTACATCACCCACAAACAAATCAGAAATACAGAAAGATTATCACAGTGTGATTTAGAAAGCAGAACAGAAGCTGATAAGAAAAGCAAAACAAACTGTCCTTGGAAAGATAAACTTTGCAGCTGACATAGGAAAAGCAACTATTAAGCTAAGCAGGGGTGTTACGAGCCTCAAGTTGAAAGCTGGAAGTATTCTGAAAGATAACAGAAATTAAGAACCCCTGCAAGCCTTGAACTGAACAACAGTCTGACCTTGAAGGAACTGAATCTGCTTTTCTGGTTCCCAGAATTTATGGTAACAGATGATATGCATCACTTCCTTGTACAGCATAGCTACTCAGGTATCCAGTACGGTTTGTCTGATATGTGACAGAGGGTCTTTGCATCATCTGCTGACCATTCAGCTACCTACTACCCTAATTTATCACTTTGGAAACATTCCAACCCCAAGGCCCCATGTGCTAAATAGAGCCAACTAAACTGCTTCGAGATTCCAGACCAAGTTTACCTGTCATGCTGGCCCTGGACTAAGATGGGAGGCTGCATACCACTGTCATATATCTCAATGCAGAGTTCTAGGTCTCCAGACTCAAAGTAACACTATATCTTTTCTTTACATCAAAACCAAACAAGTCCATGAGAAATCACGACATCTTGGACACATCAGATTTTCAGCTGGAGCAGTGCCACACACTTATGAACCCCTGATTGATCCAGGCAGCAGTCTGCAGATAAAAGCAGCAGTTTCTCTTGTATCCTCAAACATAAAGAGCTTGCACAAACTTCCAGGTGGTATTTGGAGAATAGCACCCAAAACTGTCTCTTGTTTCACTGCTCACCCTGGTGGGTGCTAGCTCGGCATTATCAAAATGCTAGGTAGTGCTTCCAGGGACTAGCACACAGAAGTTAAAGCAGCCTATAAAGTTATTGCACAGCCTCCTTAAGAGCTCATTAATTACTACTGTCAATTCTTATTGATACTGCTCATTACAGGGACCTAGCAGATCAAAAACCAGATTTAGGGAGAGAGTTACAGACTTCAGCGTTGGCAACCACTCCAGCCAATATCCAGATCACACAGCCCTGAGAAGTCCATATGCCCACCACCAAATATTCCTGGATATTGATCCACAACCTTCCACAGCTATTAAAAAAGTATAGTCATCACAGCTCCTGTAGTTGTGCATACTTGTGCAAAGAAAACAGTAAATGTATCAGATTTGTTGCATTAAGTGTGAACCAATAAGTTAATAACTTCTGTCTGCAATTATATTTTTCCCTTGTCAAAAGGGGATAATCTGCCACAATTCCACTGTATTTTCAAATGTAATGCAAACTAAGACCTCCACTGTCTTTAATAGACAAATAGACTAAATGCCAGTGAGAATGGATTTTAAAATCTGTATTTTAAGCACCACAGTAGTACAACTAGTCAAGACACAAAATTACTTTTAAGTTCTAGCTCAGTGCTTGTTCTTGGTATCTTCAGAAAAGATAGTAAAATAATTATGTAAGAAAATCAAGATAATCAAAACATTTTTAATTAAAAAAAGATCATGCACTATACGTCTTTGAGATGTAAAGAGGAGGTTAGTTTCATTTCACATTCCTCCTTTTATGTTTAAATGTGTTTCAAGCTCATATCTAGATGTTGACAAAATCAAATATTGATCTCTTCCTAATTTTCCAAGCTACAGAACAGTAAGTACTGCACAGTAAAAAGCAAGATCTAATAGAAGAGGTGGCAAGTGGGATTTCATGCTGTTTATATGTAGTCACATAAAAGACAGGCAATCACAAGAAGTGTGGCTCATTTAACACTGGAGAGACATTTTCTTTTAACTATGCATTAAAGGGATAGTATTGCCATATACTGCTCTAATCGCAGCGAATCAGTTGCAGTAAGGGAATCACTACATTTTACAGTTTGTTGCAGTCACATTCAAAACCAAGGCCTGATTCTTCTCTCTGTAAAATTAGTTCATCTAAGCCCAACATTGCTCCCATCCCTCAGCCACTGGATTCCTAATTAAGACATGCTAGACTGGACAACTTGTAAAGCACGTTTCATTCCCCAAAAGGCACCAGAGTAGCAAGATCTTCCCCTAATGTCTAGTAAATAAGAAACAAGGAAAGCCCATGCTTACCAGGCAATCACTGGCACTCAGATACAAGTCTAACTCTGTCAAGGAAGCACTTGAAGATCATGACACACAGAAGACTCTGATGAATCAAACATGTAACCCATCATACAAGACCTGCTACTGTCTCCTAAACCCCAATTAGCACCATAATATCAAGCTCACAAACTGAATAAAAACACTGCATCACTTTTATTTGCTTTTATTTGTCTTTAGACAGTAATTGCAGTGTACTCTCTTATCTTCCACTCCTCTGCAAAGCTCTTAAGCACACATAGGGCTTCCTTTCTTCGTAAAACTAGACATCTATTTATTTTGTAACAAAAATTAGTGTGGATTTGTAAAGCCCCCCAAAATGCCACATTGTACAGTAATTTCCATACTGATGAAATACAAAGGTTCTGTAATGTTTACAAAGCCTTTTAAACTGCATTAGCAAAACTGTTTTGCTAAACGACATTTTCCAACTTATCAATCCTTATTATGATATACATAAGCTCATTTCTTCCAAGAGTCACCCCTGTTCACATAATCAAATCATACAATTTGAAATGCTGTGACTTTGTCATATAAAATGTCTGAAATTATCTTGACAATGGCAATGTAAGGAATGCTGGTACCCCAAATTTTTTATGAGAAGTAAAAGCTGAAAAAGACTTAGATCTCTTGAAATTATAGATTTTTAAATATCAGAGACGCAAAGTGTTTAAAAGCCATTAAAAACCACAGGTCATCATAAAAGGAGGATCCAGATTCTGAAACACTTGTCTTGAATCATTTCAGTGTGAATACTAAAGAATGAAAATCCACTATGAAATTACAGGATTATTTCTATAGCCTGACAAACTTACTTTATGGTAATATATTTTTCAATGTCAAGCAGTACAAACAAGATATCTGAAATTATTAGCAAATATAATGACTTAATTACCTTCAAAATAATGATTACATGAACAGTGAAATAAGTTTGACAGACTGACGTAAAATCAAAATCACTGTAGTCAGATAAATTTATCCAAAGCAAAAACCATTTTTTTAAACACATATGTGTTTAATACAAAAGAAAAGTAGAGTACAGTTTTTCAACAACTGAAATAAAACTCAAAAAACACTTTGAAAAATCAATTCTACCACTCATTTTGCTTCTGCTGGGCACATCAATTTTCACATCTTAGTCAAAGATCCAGTGCATGTGCATGGTTTCTCTATGTTATCTCATTTGAAAGAAAAAGTTTCAGAAAACATGTCTCCAAGAAACATCTGATGACTGTACATCCACATGAATTAATAAAAGAGTGGAAAACCCAGCACACAAAACAACAACAACAATCACTCTTTGCAAGCCACTGGCCATAATCCTTCTTCTTAATATATTAATGCTAGACAGTTCTGAAGACATTACATCAATAGGAAAAGCTTTAACTCTCCCTTGCATCAATAAAGCACGTCATCTGACCTGAATTGCAATTATTCATTACTAAATCACTTTCAAATGAAACAATACTAACTTTCAAAGACATCTTCATATAATGAGCTATCTTTGTTGACCATTTTGACTAGTTACAGACTTTCTATCTAGTCCATAATCTTTTAGGAAGTCTAATGAAGTCTGAGAAATGAAAGACAAGTCCAGTCAATATTATTTATGGACTTCTTTTTACACTCTTGTTCAGTACAAAGATACACAGCATTGCAGAATCATTCAGCATCAATTTCTGCCACCAAACCCACGGTGCAGATTTAATCTTAGGTAGATATCCTCTCAAGGACAAACAAAATTAACTCATATCAATCAGACCTGAAAGATGTTTTCACCAGCGCCTCAGGACTGTTCACTGGTGGTAGTTCATCTGCTAAGATTTCATCAGGAGGTCTAGGGTCATTGATGATGGTCGGCTTTGGCCTTTCCTTGAGGTTGCTGGTCAACCCACCGACAGTGGTGTTCCACAAGCAGTTTTGTGACTTAGACCCTGAAAAAACAGAGCAAGAAGGAAAATGCAGCCTCAAATCATCAGGTAAAGTTATTATCCTTGCTGAATTCAAGGTGTTACATGTTTTTAAGAATAAGTTAGTGGCCAGTAGGACAATTAGTTCATATCTATGTGCCCACTGTATCCATAGAGCTTGGGTTGCATACTGCCTCAACATTATTTCCACCTCACATGGGACATGGACTGTTACAGGATAATTCAGGATAAAGGGATCAGCTTTTCTCCAATATTGTTGTTGTTGCTGCCACTGATTTAATACAGGCTGGTGATCCCACTGCAACTGGATCTAGCTGAATTGAATAATATACAACTGGTTTATGGTGAGGTCCTAATTTCTGCATTATCACCCCATTGGCTATAGCTTTACATTATGAACACACAGAATGATAAATTTTGGTATAATCTAGGAGCATGAGAGCAGGAGCAGATGCCAAAGCTCCTTTCATTTGCTTTAAAAGCTTGCTCCCTCTCTGGGCCCCATATAAGAGGTTCTATCTCTTTGTTCTTAGTTGTCTGAGTCAGACTTAATCAATTTGCCTAGCACAGGGATTCACTGCCAATGAAATTCCACGGCTCTAAGAAATCCTCATGCCTGCTTTTTCACGACCAGACGTAGGAGCTTAATTATAGATACTAGTCTTTCTATCATTCATTTCTCCTTCCCAAAACAATGAAACACTGTAACTCTCTTTTGACACATCTGAGATTGGGTAGAAGCGCACAGTGTCCCTTCTTTGCTAAGGCAATACATAAATGTACAGTGTCTAGTACACAAGCATTATCACCTCTATTTGCCAATAACAAATCATCACATACTGTCCAACAACCAATAATGTTACACCTTAATTACAGTGCAGTAAGTGCCAAAATTCTCTGCACGTTCAACAGGCCTCTACCTCTTGAAAGGCACAACAGAACACAACAGCAAGAGTATTTTCCTTTCCTTTTCACCAAAAGGCCAATACAAAACATTAGGCAATAGAACCACAGTTTCCTGCTCAGGCAGTACTCTTCGCATATCATCTTTCTGGAAGTAAATGAAACAGTGTCTCCCAGGTCAATATAAATAACACTATTTTGAAAAGTGAAAAGGTTTCCTGCTGCTCTGACCACACCACTGAACTGGATCACAGGTGATGCCCTCTGTTTAGCAATAGAACTAATGAAATCTCCTTAAGAGCAACTACAGCAGTTCTCATTATTCTGGAGGAAATATTCAAATATTATTTGTATGTTTATTGTTATCTTACCTAATACAAATGTACCTGTAGAAAAATGTGCTTTTATAAATATTTTCAAAAAGTACACATAAAATATTACCATAAGTACTAGTCTATAGAAAATCTCATACAAAAAATAGTGCAGTGTTTCAGCTGACATGCACCTTCTAAAGAACCTGCTCTTGACATGGTATTTTAAGTTTACATCCCAATAACTAAAACAAATAGTTATATCTAAATCTGAATTCACATAAGTTTTCCAGAAAAAAAACAAAAGGACACAAATAGCACACATTTTGAAGATGAGTATGCCTCTATAAGCAGGTGTTCTGGAATCCTCCCTTTTGAAGAGGCTCCACGTGCAAACACTAGGAACACATCGAAGTGAACAACCACCTATAAAGAACTGGTAAAAAGCACTATCTGCTTTGCCATTGACCAGGAAATGAAGTGAAAAGCTTTAACTGGAAAACGAAAAAAGAGGAGCTGTTTTGATTGAAAAACTATGAAAGACAAGCTGCTTTTATTGACAAGTGTAAAAGGCAAGTTGCTCTAATTGAACAAACTACAAGAGTCAAGTCACTTTAATTGAAAACTGTTTAACACATATTGCTTTAATTAAACAGCTGTTCTTTAATTCAAATACCATTAAAGATAAGTTACTTTAGTTTAAACACTGTTAAAGACAAGTGGCCTTAATTAAGGAACAGTGGCTGTAATTTAAAAACTGCTACACGGTAAGGGCTTCAGATAACTGCACCCTCCTACATAAGGTACATAGTAATGGACCAGCCAATGGGCATTGAAAGCATACTGTGGGCTTTAATTAAAACAATGTTAAGCATATTTCTATCAAAAATTAAATTGTGTGAGTTAAAAAAGCATATAAGCAAGTGTCCAACAGGTCACATGGGCTGCTGCTGTTGTTGCTGCTGCTGTTGCTGCTGCTGCTGCTGCTGCTGCTGGGGTTGCTGCTGCTTGGCTTGCTGGTTCACTCATCATCAGAGATCATAGGATGAGAGATCACAGGACATGTGACCATGAGAGAAGATCAGAGAAGAAGATGAAGAGGACATGGGGAATAGAAGACAGAAGACCAAAATTCAGAGCCTGATGGAGATATCCCCCACCACAGAGGACCAAATCTACAAGCCAGCACTGAGCCCATGGTGGTGATAACCCCTTTTCTGTGCTTCTAGTAATTTCTCTTGGCTTTTCCTCCTTTCCTATTTTCCTTCTTTCCCTCCTCTCTTTTTGTTTCAGAAAATAAAGTTGAGTTATTGTTTCAGAATCCAACATCTGGCCTTGTTTGTGCCTTAATCTTGCTTGTGGGTATATTAGAACCTAATTCCTCTCTGCACCTAAGTGAATTGGAACACCACTTCAGCTAGTGTTTTGTGAAACATGTTTTATCTGGGCACAAATTGCCTATTTGTTAGTTGCAAAAGAAGAAAATCCTTTAAAAAGCCCACAAAAATTTCGAATAAACTCTTAGGTTAGACTCTTGAAGGAATCACTGTACATTAAAACAGTCTACAACACACTATTTTGAATAGTTTTGCACATAATCTTGCAAGTTTGTACTGGCACAAATCATTCCTAGAAGAGGCTGAGTGGTTTTGTTGATGGTATTTGGATGGATTTACCTTTTTTAATTTTTTATATAAATAACTCAGTCTTTTCTTTCCGAACCAAGTTCAGCCAAGCCCACAAAACATCCCCCAATATTTGCAAGGAAATGGCAGGAGATAGACCATTCTCCTTGGAGACTCTGCTGCAGATACAACAGGTATGGCCTGGTACAAGGTTGAAAACCACTCAGATTTTCACAGGCTGCAAGAATTCACCAGGTGCCAATAGATTTACAACACTTCTTAGGGTGTGGGCCTCTGTCTCGGGGCAAACCTAAGAACACTGGGCAGACATGGCATAAGCACCTGCTGGATGCAGGCCAAGGGACCATTTCCAGCCATTACCCGCCATCCAGGGCATAACCTGCAGATTGCACACACCAAGCTACCTGCACTAGGTGTATTACTCAACATGACCCCCCAAATTTCACAAAAATTCTTAATTTTACTTGAAAAGACAAGCTTCCCACTCAGTAAGGGGAAATATAAAGGATGTTAGAATTTTAAATTATCTGACCATGCAGGCGACCTGTGATAATACCTAAAATATTGTGATTTCCTATAACATGTTGAGAGGACCATTTCTTTTGCTAAAATATGGCACAATCAGCACAGTTGAATGTAGAAGTTTACCCATGAACAAAGAAAAATAAATTGCCATTCAGTTGCACACAGCATGCTCAGGACAGCAGGACACCAACACTTGTAGAAAAAAAGGTGCTCTGCACTAATAAAATCCCATTTCATTGAAAAGAGGTTCTCTGAAACCACTTTTATAACTTTCATGTTTTCCCTACAATTATTCCAAGGAATCTGTTTCCCAAACCACCACCTTTTCCCTATTTCCTCAGCTCTGCTCTTTCTTTTATTTCACAGGCTCTCCAGCTTGTCAGGCACCGGACTACTGAGAGAGCAGAGATTGCACGAACAATTTCTCCTGCATTTCTGTAGGCCTTGCCTTGGCATAGCTGGCTACAGACTGTAAAAAATACTGCATCGTTAACATGGCTTCAGGTTCTGAAGCCAAGACAAAGAAGGATCTCTGTCAAGGTTAAGGAGGAGTCCTGAGAGGTAAACATGTGCCCTCAGCTCACATGGACATCTGTTATAATCAAATTAGCACTGGACAGCAAAGTATGTTTCTTTTATGTACCCAATACTGTAGAAGAAAGATCATGCTTCGGGGTGTAGTAACAGTATATAATGGGCATCCTTTTGTAATAAAGCGGACATTTTGCTGATCATATTGGTCTCAGAGCAACCTGTTCCGAGCCCCTCTGCTGATACTGGACAACTCCACGGTTCAGAAAAAACACATATAAGCCTTTTTTGCAGTTAATATGTTAGGGAAACTTCCCTATCCAATCATCTAGAAGCCACTCTGGCAGTTATACTCTCACCATCTGAGCTGGGACCCTTAACAGTCTATTCAGCCAATAGTCTGCGGTCTTCCAGCTGAGTCATCAGCTCTTGCTGTGTCTCTGAGTGGCCAGTCACCGGCTAGCACCTGGGTGTGTGCCAGGTCATGCTTGTTGCCTGGGGCTCCTGCTATTTCTTGCCATCCAGGGTGCAATCTGCAGCTTGTACTGCAGCTGCTCACCGAGCTACCTGGAGTAGGTGTAGTCCTCAACAATACTGATTTCAAATCCTTGTGGATAAGTTTAAACATTTGCAAAAATGTTTCTTTCTCATTTTATTGTACCCTGTGAAAGATGATTATAGCTAGAAGCAAAAGTAAAATAGGTTTAGGTGTTATAATTTAAAAAGCAGAACTGTACTTAAAGAATATGTGTGTAAGTGTTCAAATACTTTCATCTAGCCTGAAAATTGTGGGAATGCAAATTCATCATGACACTAGAAATGAGAAGAGATTTCAGCAAGAAACCATGGGATTTAAGCAAAAGCAAGGAAGAACTGTTTGCACCACCTGTGATAAGCAAGACAAACTAACAGTCTTGTAAACAACACGATAGCTCTCTTTATGGCTTTGTTTTGCCCCATCAGTGGTTGTAACCATTATGGAAAACTGCTTGCTTATCTGTTTAATGGAAAAATACCCCTTGTGTGTCCCTGCCCCCCGAACCCGGCTATGAATGAAATGGAAAAGTACTAAGCATGCATGCCCCTTCTGCAAACCCTATATATACTAAAGGTTGTAATCAATAAACGATTCAGTTTGTCCATACAACCTGGGTCCACACCACAGTCATTACAGAAAATATTGTTATATTGCAAGTCTATCTGGAGCACCGATAACCTCAAACCTACCATTCCCACTGCCTCACTTAACAACACCAGCAACCTTTCCCTCTTCTTTGCCCTTAGTAAAAGGGCGAAACAGTTACATACTCCAGAGAGCTCTGGATAATAATCAGATGGAGAAGGCTCATTTGTATTTTGGTATGTTATCCTGTGTGATTGTGTGCACAGAAAGCTAAATCAGGTAAACTAGGTCAGTCTAAATGGGTATGGCTTGTTAAACATTGATCTGATTTGATCCCACTGAAATTTCTGAAGTCTTCATTGTTTACTTCAAACAAGCAGCTGACTCAGAGCAATGTAAATCCTGCTCTTTTTTTGTGATGATGAAGGTCCTAATTGCAGTTGGATTTATCATTTGAGTGAGTGTGAAAAACATAATCGAAAAAGATATCCAGGCTCTGGTTTCTGACTCAAATACAAGGATAATGACAATAATCCTTTATGACTTCAGCTATTCTTGAATTCTTGTCCTCAAAAACTGCAGATTTTTCTGCCATTGAGTTAGGATGTTTTTGAATTTCTGATCTGCATTTCACTGTTTGGTTAATGAAGCATTATATGGTAGAGTAGGTTATAGTACTCTCAGCATAAATTTCTATATCATCCATTTAACTTCTGTTAGCACAGCACATGCCTAGACATTTCCCTTCTTTCTATAACACAGCTCCCCTTCTAATTTTCCTTCTCATTCCCACAGAGTTGTCACCTTATATTGCTCATGACCACACAGTCACGATACCCTATGAGAAGCCAGGTAGGTCATTAAATCCTCAACCTGACTCTCAGATCACTAAATTTAATTCCTAACAGTGAAGGTCCAGTTTAGACTTTGAATTATCTCCCTTTGTTCCTATATTATGCCTCTGTGACTATTTCCCAGGCAGGCTTTCCTAAGCGTACTTCTCTGCATTACATTTCTGTTAATGTCAAATAGCCTGAAGCCTTGATTTCACCTCTCCACAATCTGGTACAGCACTTAGGCATACAATGAGGTCTTATAAGGTGATGTCTTCTGCTTTCATTCAGCTGATAGTCATCTGCTCCTCTATTCTTTTTAATGTAATGTTAAGCAACTCTAACTCTACAATTAAGGCTTGACTGCCTTGTTGAGAGCCAAGATTAAAGCAGGAACAGAATCTAGTTTTTCCTGGGTCTCAGACCTTCACTCTATATACATTCACCAACAGCCAAGTTCTTCTTGTCAGAATCAGAACTGGAATGCCAGCTCAGTTTCAGATGTCATGATATTGCACTTGACCTACTTGTCAGGCAATATGGTAGCATGAAGTCTTTGTGTTGTGGTTTGGGAATGGTATTCTCCAATTCCATGCTCCCACTGAAATCATACTGCTGCTTGCTCCCCCCTTGGATCTCCTTGGAGAGGAGAATTGGAGGCACAAAAGGCAAAGATGATAGGTTGAGACAAGGACAATTCAATGGAAGCAGCAATGAAACAAGAAAACAAACAGTAAAAGCAACGATATTAATAACAAAAGCATAAAAAAGAGAGTGATTCACATGCAAAAATGCTCACTGCAGAGCTCAGAACCTGACTGCAACCTGAAGAGATTCCTTCCTTCTGGAAAGAGACTGCCTTTCCCCCACCCCTGGCAATGACTTGAGGTAGTATAGAATAAGTTGGGGTCCTAGCCATGCCCCTTCCTGACTACTGCAAAAAATTAACCTTGTCCTGGCTGGAACCTGGCCTTGTAACCCAATATCCAGGAATAAGCAGTACTTGGGCAGAATCTTCCAACTGTATACCTAGTATATTTTCAGTGCTGAATCAGTCAGGACTGATTAATAGAAAACTTTTAAGTTTTCCTGTCTACAATATGAAGGAAAATCCTAAATCAGGAATAAGTAATGCCAGTACAGTTCTCTCTGAGTTGTGTTCAATCTGCACCATCATTTTGTAACGTTCAACAGATTTCATGGCCACAGAAGTTCCTTCTATATTATATACCTTAGCTACCTACCTATGTGAGGTATGGTATGCTCAGAATGCCATCCTGTAACTGTGTGAAATACTGCACCATAGAGGTAAATTATTTTGCTGTTTTGATCTGCACTGCCCATGATGATGGCAAATGTCCCCATCCTTTTAATCGTGAGAAGGGGATTTTTCCCCTTCTAAGTGATCATAAATCACCATGAAATTTGTATTATAAATGGGATGTCCTGTCTTTATCCTCATTTCTACATATTTATCATGTGTTTCTAATAATTCATATGGTCACAGTCATGGTCAGTTGGTGCTACGTTACTAGATGCATAGCACGTTTTTGTTCAAACTTAGGTCAGTTATTCCAAATCCCAAGCCATATCTTCAGTTCCTAATATTCTTGTGTGAAGAAAAGAGTGTTGAAGGTTTAATAACATTTTTCATATCCTATTTCTACGATTTGACACAAATCTCTTTTTAACCACTGTAGCGAACTTCAGCTGGCTTTGTGACACATAAAACTTTTTATGCTTGAAATAATAGTAAGGCTACAAAGCCTTCCATTCATTTACATCTGCATCAACTATTCAATAAGACTGAATTTCTGTAAGTGATTTTTCCATTTAAGTACTATAGTCCTTCAGTTTAGTACAGTACATGAAATTTAATAATACGGCAGACATAATATGAGATTAAAAGACTTATTAAATGTGTTTATTTCTGCAGTAGATCTAGAAATCCACCAGTTAAAAATGAAAAAACTACTTACAGGCAAATAGTGAAAGTGGTTGTGGATGTTTGACACCTGTCTCATTTGCAACTGAAAGGAGAAAATACAGAGAAATAAAAATCATTAAATTTAAATGTTATATTAAGATTAATGATAATATGAATTTTTATGCATGTATAGGAGAGAAGACTGTTCACAGTAACACAAGTTTCATTAGTGAGTACAGTAAGAAAAAAGTAAGATTAATCCATCTATATAAATGAAATGTCCCAGTAATTTTGGAAGCCCAGAGGATGATTTAGCAACAAATTGAATGAAATTAAAGGATCTGTGCAAAGGAATTCTCTGACATTTGGAACTGCATGTAGATATCACCTAGGATAAAAACTGTACAAATCCCTCTTTTTTTTCCTGCCTTAGATTTATACTGGCATAGGTCAACATTTCTGTGACTCAGACGGTACACAGTTAGTCAAGAGCATAAACAATTCTGTGGGGTTCTCACAATATTAACTACAGCTGAAAAAGAGGAAAGTTTTCTAGGAGAGGAATTACCATCCACTCAGGACTTTTTTTTTTCCTAGAGCTAGAATAATCACAAGGAAGAGCATTGATAAGCATATTATAAGTTCACACAGAAACCTGCCAATTCTTTGCTTTCTTTTAAAGTGCTGTTTTCTATATACAAGACAAGCTAAGCTAAGAAATCTCAGAAAAGGATGCAAACTATGACAGGAACTGAGAGTCACAGGTTCCTAGTAAGATAATGTCAACTAAACTATAATGGACCTTTTGAAGTCAGAAAATACTTTGATGAAATTTAATTCTTCTGTGAAGGCTTAAGGTTGTCAGTTTAAGTTTGGCTTTATTTAAGACCCATATCCAGAGTCACTGAAGCTTTCTTACTTCTTCTTCAATCTCTACTTTCTGATTAAGATGGCTCTAGCACTCACTCTAGTGAACACAGGATCTTTCAATAAATCACTGTCTCATTTTGCCCCCATTAACCAGCAGCCTTTACTACACCAAGTGCCTCTGTATCAGCCTGAGGAACTCGCCAGGTTGGCTGGAGCAAAGGCCCTGACATCTTTCAAGTCCTGCAAGATGCCCTTCCTTGGCTTAAGTCTGTCACAGAAACTGTAGCACAAACCCCAAACACATAAGCTCTCCTGGGACATTGTGTGCAGACATTGGAGTGGCTGAACAGTTATGCAGGTCCAGAGTGGTTCATAGTTTCAGAGTCAAAACTGGCTCTGCCTCAGGTGATGGCATGGTGAGGGAGAGTGTAAGACTACATGTCCTTTTGGAAGAATTTGTAACAAAGAGTTAGGACTTGTTTTCACTTAGGAAGTCTTTCCTGTCTAAGAGTATTTTCCTCAAAAATAGTCGGATGTTTTTCTTTCCCTTCTCATTTTGCATCCCAGAGAAAGCTGCAGGCTCTCTCTTTCCCTGGAATGCAGAGAGATAAACAGATGTTACAGGCAGGCACAGCAGAGAGGGCCTGGAGGAGAAGATAAGGGGTCTTCGAGAGATGTGTTTTGCTGAGACCCAGTGCTTTCACAATTGGTGCAGGATTTCTTTGTGAGTTTTTAGTGTTCTCGACTTCAGAATAAACCTTTGGATTCTTTCCACTGCCTTGGCATTTTTGGGGGTACCTGCATGTACCATACCACACAGAGAGGCAGCAGCATCCTTCATGGGGCTGGTATCAAAACAGTTGTATCCAGTGACATCAAGAACCATGCCTGAAAATACTGCTATAGCCAATATGTACAGGTCAAGCAGCCGGGCTTTGTCTTTAACTCAAGAGACAACAGCTTGCAGGGGGTAGGCTAAGAGATTGCCTGCCAGACTGGTGTCTTCTGGGCTCCTATGTATCTCTACCACAGCAGAGACTGGTCAAATTCATAATATGCACTGATGTCTAAATTGGAGCATTAAGTGAACTATTAGATTACTGAAGAAAGGATCTGCTAAAGGCCTTTTAACTGTGCTATTATTTGTTTTAGAGTAGTTCATCCACTTTGGTGGCAGATGGCACTCTCTGGTCACCAGGGCTTCAGGTGCATGGGTCTCTGTGGGAACAAGTTAAGCTAGCAGCACCTGCATTCAGTTAATTAGAATCAAAAGGGATTGTTGTGGCCTTGGAGCTGAGAAGGAATGTGTGAATCAAAACATTGAGTTTGCAAAAAATCCTGGGAATTCTAGTTAACTGAATGACACCACCAGGTGCTGTTTACCAAAAGAACCTTAATAAAACTGGAATGCAGAGAGAGCTCTGTGGAGAATCCTGAAAACTGAATCATGGTGTGTTCAGTCTCATTTCTTCAGCACCCATATTTGCCATAGGTCTCAACTTTATGCCATCTTGCAACAACAGAACTCCACCCAGCATCTGTGTTTGGGAAGCTCAGCTCCCAAATTCACAGCGTCCAATACAACAGGTGTCATTAACCCTCTAAAATAAAAAAAAAATAATAAAAAAAAACAAAAACAAAAACAAAACAAAACACAAAAAAAAAAAAAACAAAACAAAAAAAAATTTTCTTGTCCAGGCTGCATAAGTTTGTTTTCAGTTGGCAGTGCTTTCCAATGACATCAGATGGTGTCATATACAGAGTAAAGCTCTTTCATTTGGAATACAGCCATGCAAAGTAAAGTGCAGGTAGTATAGCAAAGCAATGAGCAGGATAGAAAGCAGAGGGCCTGGGAACTGTCCGGGACCAATGAGGTGTGTGCGTAAATAAGGGAAAGGTTTCAGAAGCAAAGAGGATTTCTGCATTTGCTCTGTGCAAAAATCTTAGAAGATTTTACTTGATGCAGTTTTTACTGTGGAAATTCTGCATACTTTCCCTACACTTGTCTTACAGGAGTCTTTGGAGACACAAATAACAGACATGTAAATAAGACTTTTTCTCCAGATGGCCTGAAATCTTCTCAACCCTGTGTTTATTCAAGTTTATTAATAGTAATAAGCTTTTGGATGAAAGCAGGTATGAATTAATAAAGTTGGAGAAAGAAGATGAATTTCTGAGAGAGCAAGTCACAATGCATATCAAAAATATTATCTAGTATTTCCAAAGATTTCCTGTATCACTGTCCCTTTAGATATGCTTATTCTCCAGCCATGCTCTACCCTTGTAAGCTGAAGTCTAGGCTGATTTTCATCTGATGAGATTATCAGCATGAAAACTGCAGATATTTACTTCATTCTTCTAAGAATTCTTCAATTTCTACTCCACCATTTTATTTTTTTTTAAATATAAAACTATACACATTTCAAGTTATTTTCCACTCTAACCTAGAAGCAAATAAATCTTGGAAGGGTATAGCAAAGTGCAGGTATTTTGTAAGAAACTTCTGGTCCTTCAAAAAGACAGCCATGACAGGCAGGAGACATCATCCTCTAATCAACCCATTACAGGAAAATATTCACAATGCTGCCTGTGCTATCTTGTCCAGGTAGACAACAAAATACCAGGCCTAGCCATTTCAAAAGCTTTATGTTGTATCATAACTGCCTGGAAAGCTCAAAAGCCTCAAACTGCAATTACAAAAATATATCAGTTTTTTTATTAACATGGATCACTCGTATGCAAGTTCACTCCATGCCCACTTTATAGGCAGGCTTCATTTTTTAATGCATGCCCTATAAAACTATTTACTACAGTTTGCCACCTTTTTTTACAGACAATATCCATTTTGTTGCAAAAAACTGAAGTTTAGCAATTGGAAGTAGTATGGTTAAGGCTTGATAGAACTGTAGGCCTGAAAACTATGGTCAAAAGGGTAGTTAAGCAACAACCTTGTTCGTAGGAATGGAATGTGCTGAAAAAGTAGGAACAATAATCAAAGGGTTTAGTCGAGCATGTATATAATGATTTGTTACCATGAACAGGTGTTTTGGTGGTGGGGGAGTTTTTGTTAAACAGTTTCTAAGGGTAGATGATTATCAATTGTTATTAGTATGAAATATGAGTTTCTGTGGAACTAAGTGTAACTGTTTTTGTGTAAGACTGCACGTAGACCTGTTTGTGTAAAAGTATAAAAGCTTAACTGAAAATTAGGGTCTTCGGAATCCTGGTTTGGGGCGCTAGCCCACAGGTTCCCGGGCCCTGAATAAAGCACCGCATAAACCAGCACTCTGTTGGTTTGTGTCTTTGTTTACGGGCAACAATTTCACCACTATGCCACCTCAGTCAATGTAGTTTTCAAAGATCCTTTGCCAAACTCCCAATACAATGCAAAGAAAAATATACCACTTTATAGTATTGACTCATCAACACTGATAGACACAATATCTGTGTTTTGCCATTAAGTAGCTGAGAGGCTGTAAAAAGAATGCTAGGTATTTTTCACCCACCAGTAAAGACATTTTTTCAAGGTGACTTCTTGTTTTTTAATCAGCCAATGGGCAGATGAGCTTAACTATACATTTCATGCTGCTAATAAATTTGTCAGTGTTAGGAAAAGTACATTAGATAAGGTCAGAACTCAGATACATAGATAAATATACTTTGAATATACAATCTGAATATTCAGATATATCTAAACTCTTCTCTGAGATTTTTCTTTTCCCCTTCAATTCCACGTATTTTGAACAGCATTCCTGCAAAAAAAAACAAAAATTTTTGGATTGCCCTAACATATCATCTCCTGATAATCTTTTCCTTTAAAATTCAGAAGAATAAAAGACAGTTCTATGACTGCTGAGACAATTGTGTCTGTTTACGTTTTATAGGCAAATCAAAATAAGATCACGCCTGGAAACTCCAGCGGCCTTTCTCTTAAAGCCTATGACATTAGCTGTTTTATAAACTTACCAGACTGAGTCTTAAGGTAGCTTGCTTTTCATGCTTACTCATCTTATATAATGACACTTTGTCTGAACCTGATTGCAGTGTCAGTTATGACCTATCATTTAATTTGTGTCAATTCATATTGATGTGTTCTTGCACCAGCAACCTCTTTAAACTGAAAGAGTTTTTTTCTGATGCTTAATCCTCCTCTAATTTGGGCATGGAAAGACTGAATTTTCCCATTTCACATTTTTTGTGGACTAAAATACCATGGCCATCCAGTTTTGACTC